TGACCCAGAGTTCAAGCTTGAAAGAAAAAAAAAATGTCATTGCACCTCCAAATGTCACTCACATTTGTCACAGGTAAATCACCAATGGCTACTACGGGGTGTAGATTTCAATGACAAAACTCAAGAGTTCAGGCATTTGTCAAAAGCCAGTACAGCTGGGTGCTGCTGGCTCACACCTGTAATCTTAGCTACACAGGAGCCTGAAATCTGAGGATTAGGGTTCTAAGCCAGCCCAGGTAGGAAAGTCTGTGAGACTTTTATCTCTAATTAACCAGCCAAAAGCTGGAAGTACAATTGTAACTCAAGTGGCAGAGCCTCAGCTTTCAGTGAAAAAACCCAAATGAGAGTACAAGGTCCTGAATTCAAGCCCCCAAATCACACACACACACACACACACACACACACACACAGCCATTACCACTCACTTCCCCAAGTCCACTCCTAGTACATGAACAGCGACAGATTCAAGCGATTCTCTGGAAAATTACGTTTGGGGTTTTGGGAGTTCGGGGGGGAAGGGGAGTTGTTTTTGTTTTTGTCTTTTGGTTGGTTGTGGTACTTGAACCCTGGGCCTGGGCACTATCCCTGAACTTATTTTGAGCCATAGCACCACTTCTGGTTTTCTTGTGGTTAATTGGAGATAAGAGTCTCATGAACTTTTCTGCCCAGGCTGGCTTCAAACCACAATCCTTAGATCTTAACCTCCTGAGTAGCTAGGATTACAGCTTAAAATTTTGTTTGTAAGAGGAAAAACCAAATAGGAAGCAACCCAAATATACCACAACACAGAAAGCAGGAATGCACTGAAGTACATTCCTGCATGAAACATTATCTGGCAATGAAAAAAGAGAAAACCATCACTACCCACCAAAACATAATATGAGCAGGAGCACCCCTGAAATGTTACATTGTATACAGTTCCACTAATAGGAAGCCAAACAATCAGGCAAAAACTAATTCACTGTAACAACGTTTGCTAAAGACTGGGGAGACAGCCAAAAGTCAAATGACTGGGAAGCCATTGGAACCAGAACCAGGGAGACCAGAGGATTGTTCTTTACCAGAGGTGCCAAAGTCAGCTAATATCTGTATTTGCTGGGACACAACCACACTTACTCCTACAGGTTTATCTTTGGATGTTTTGGTAAAGAAAATGTATGTCCTGAAAGACCTAAAATATTTATCTTTCTAACGCCCATCTCCAGTTTGACTTGGGTGATGAGTCTCAGAGATGCTGGAAGTTCATACTAGGAAGTTCATCCACTTGGGCCAAATAACACATGTGCTGGGCTGTATTCAAATCATACTTCAGTGACACTTCCAAAGAGGCAGGGGTTTGGGATAGAGCTCAGTGGTAGAATTTGTGCTTGTAAAAGGCCCTGAGTTCAGTTCCTCTCTCTCTCTCTCTCTCTCTCTCTCTCTCTCTCTCTCTCTCTCACACACACACACACACACACACACACACACACACACACGCACATAGAGTAGAAGAAGTGAATTAAATAACTGTGGGAAGGGGGTGGAGGGTTTAAACCCTCAAAATTTTCATTCCAGTTATAGTTGTCCATTTTGGGAGAATATGGCCATCTACGTTTATCTTTTCTAGAACTGAAGGAAGGTAGGTGATTCAAGTCAAAAGCGGGGAAGATCTATCTCAACATGGAAATGGGACCAGATCCAAACCTTTTATGAGTGTGACATGCACACAGAATCCCTCAGAAGCCATTCACACGAACAGTGCACTTGGCCGAGTCCCCAGATTACAGGAGCCATGGGAAGGAAAAAGGCTAAGACTCATGTGATGCATGGTGTCAGACTACTGGAGGTTATTTTAGGATAGAGCTTAGGAGAGCAACAGGCTCTCTCAGGCACCTACTAACATACTGTATTTTATTTCATTTATTTATTTATTTTGTGCCAGTCCTGCGGTTTGAACTCTAGGCTTGGGTACTATCCCTGAGCTTTTCTTCTTTGCTCAAGGCTAGTGCTCTACCACTTGAACAACAGCACCACTTCTGGCATTTCTGAATCGTTTATTGGAGATAAGGGTCTCACCGTCTTTCCTGTCTGGGCTGGCTTTGAACTGTAATCCTCAGTCTCGGCTAGTAGCTAGGATTACAAGTATGAGCCCAGAAACACTATATTTATAAAGGTGAAGCCAGTTTTAAGTTTCCAGGGGAGAAAATCCCACCTTGACTGGCACGTTTGCAGTTCAGCCTCAGATAGGAGGGTGGAGCAAAAGCTCTGGCACCACACACACATCAGAACAGCGCCACCCTTTCCTTGAACCCCGCCCCCTCCCAGGTCGCTGCTGAGCTGCCCAGAGGACTCTGGGAACAATTTCATTTTGTCTGAGATTCCCCCCTCTTTCCCTTCACTTCTTTTGTCTGGGGCCATTTTTCCTTTGATGGTCACACTAAAATTACAGCTCCATGCCATTTGGCGTGGCCTCGTGCTGGTCTATCAGACACACAGAGAATGAACACTGAATGCATGGTACTTGCTGTCTAATAAAATGTCCCTCTGTTTGCCCACATGGGCATGAAGCCTTCGCAAAGAGAAGCAGCAGAGAACAATACTACCTGTTCATGGAGGAATAGTGATGTTTTCAGTCCTCCAAACAATGAGCTCTGTAATTTACCCCATCTTCCTCCTGAGAGAGAGCTTCACATGGCCCGTACGGTGCCAGGTGGTTTGGAGAAAGACGAACTGCTCCAGCCAAACAAGGGGCACTTCAACGCCGGGTGTAAAGACTCACCAGCTGGTCTGGTCTCGGCTGTCTCCCAGTGACATGGCCCCGGCCAGCCTTTCCACACCAAGATAAGCATCAGCACCCTATTCAGCCTCGACAATTCCCACACCCCAGGCAGCTAGGTTTCCAGAGCCCTCAGGACACTGGCTCTCCACCCATTCATCAGAACATAGAGGAGGTACCTGGTCTCTAACCAATGCCTGGGTCTAAGTGCTAGTCTGAAAGCTAGACTTACTAAGCCATCACCAAAAAGGAAGGAAGTGGCTCATGCCTGTAATCCTCAGACCTCAGTCTCCTGAGATCTGAGGATCTCAGTTCGTAGCCAGCCCTGGCAGGAAAGTCCATGATACTCTTGTCTCCAACTAACCACCAAAAAGCCACAAGTAGAGCTGTGACTTGAGAAAAAAATAACCTAAGGGACTGTGCCCTAGTTCTAAGTTGGAGCCCTAAGACTAACACACATACACAGACACACACAGACAGACAGACACACACACACACACACACACACACACACACACACACACACACGGAGGCCTGCAACGGAAGTGTGCCAGAAAGAATTGCAGCACAAAGCTCACAACACCCCAGTCTTGGAACTAGCTAGGGGGTGGATGGTGAAAGTCAAGAGTCACACTTTCCCCTTAAACACATACACAGTAACCAGCAGCGGCACAACCAGAAAGGTAAACAAAATATTCTTAAACTAGTTACTTGAAATCAACCCAGAAAGACCAGAAACCCACCAAAGAATGGCTGTGGCTTACATTTTCTTTTCTATTATTTTTTGACAGTACCTGAATTTGAACTCAGGGCCTCCTGCTTGCTAAGCAAGTGCTCTACAACTTGAGCCATGCCCACAGCCCTGACTCACACTTATTCCCCTCCTCCTCCTCTTCCCCCTCCCCCTAACGGTCAGGCCACAGGGCTTAACTCCTGGGCTCCGCCCCTGAGCTTTTTCACTCAAGGCTAGTACTCTATCACTTGCTTTGAGCCACAGTGCCACTTCCAATTTTCTGGTGGTTAATTGGACATAAGAGTCTCACAGTCTTTCCTGTCCAGGCTGGCTTGGAACCTTGATCTTTAGATCTCAGCCTCCTGAGTATTAGGATTACAAGCATGAGCCACCAGCTACATGCTTTTTTTTTTTTTAACTAAGTAGTGTAATTCCATATCTAGGGCAAATGGCTATTTCAAAGTCTTATGGATGAAGATAGAAATTTGAAATGGCAAAGCCTTGTGGCAGGAGCTCTGTAAGACTGAATGCATGTGTGTGCACATGTACGTATACACACACACACACACACACACACACACACACACGTAACCTGCAAGAGCTTCCTAAAAGAAAGAGAACAGCAGGATAGTGGAAATCCCCACCAAACCGACACAAGAAGAGAAGAACTGAGAGCCAGACTTCCACACCACAATTCACAGTTCCAACAGCCTCCCCACCAAGGGTTAATCCAGAACACTGAGAGTTCTGGTCCCATCAGTTACCCATGCGCGCCCCAGCACCGCAAGGCCAGGCAGACAGAGGAAAATTGTATTAGTCTCCCTGCACTATTGCTTTCTGCTGGCTTCAGTTCAGCCCCTAGTCTATATTAGTCTGTGATTTGTTAGCCTTTGGATTTAAGAGAATGGAAGTACTACGCGAGCAGGAAACAGGACACTCATCAGAAGCTGGGATCTGTCACCTTTCCCTTCCAGCACTTTCAATGGGACCAAGAGAAACCAACATTTCAGGGCCATCAGGTCAAAAGTGATATTCTTAGCACTGCTTAGCGTGATTTTGAGCCACCGGAAACGACGCTCTTGGCTGTCACATGGTCTCCTCTCCCGTCTGCCCTCACTTCATTCTTCCTGTTCACATTTTGTCATCACGTTTTCCTTCCAAGTCAAAATCCCTCCCAAAGCCAAAAGCAGTAGCCAAGCTCTGCCCATGATGCCTGATCAAGATACTCATAAACAGGTTTCTCTTCCTTTCTGATTCTTCAAATCATTCCAACAGCATTTCTTCTACCCTTTCTTCTTTTCTGCTCCACAACTCCCCCAGTGATTCAGCCATACCACCACTACCACCATCACCACCATCATCATCACCATCACCATCATCGTTATCAAAACACCATCATCATCATCATCATCATTATCATCACCACCATGTAGGTCAGGGAGGGGCAGACAATAAGACACGAGAGACCTACACATTGATAAATCAAACTTCAGAATCTCTTGTGGTTCCTACCTGAATTGCAATCTGGTGTTCAATCGTTTTGTACGCAGAGTAATGTGTGCTGCCGGACTGAAAATGGAGCTGTAGGAAAAAACCAAATCAAAGCGTTCTGCTGATGTCACAAACTACAAGAATACATCTTAAGCAGTTTATGAATAGCAGACAACCCTCCCTAGATTAATCTGTAGCCTTGGCATTCAATCAAGACCTGCGTACTTTTTATTTGTTGCTATGGATAAGATGATCATACCAATCTAAGCTTTTAAAAAATAAAATAAAATAAAGCATCAATTCAGTAAGCAAATAAGGGGAGGGGGACAGGAATGAGACTCAATGACATGAAAAGAGAAGACTGATGCCCACTAAACATAAAGGAAGCCAGTATGCTGAGCAAAAGGCTGAAGAAACACTAACGGGGCAGCAAGAAGTTATCAGCATTGCGACATGAAGGGGAAAGGAGACACAGAGGAAGGGTTGTGAGAAGCCCCAGATTGCAGCGAGTAGAAGCCCCCTCTCCTCCTAGTTCTAGTAACGGGGCCTGGCCTCTCCAACACAAATCTATTTCTGGGAAAACAAATGTGTCTGACAGAACGCAGGGGCCACCCAATGCCTTATACATTCTTTCACAATGACTCAGCTGTGGGCCCAGGAGGTCTGTGCAGCCCGCATTCTAGTAATCTGCACTTCCCCAAAGGGCGTCAAGGATTGCCCAAGAGCCAGCCACCAGTCTGCTAAGAACCACTCCTTGCTAAATCACAGGCTTACTCAGCCTCTCCCCAGCTCAAGGCCAAGTCTCCTCACCCCAGCCTTTCCCACTGTAACCCCTACAGGACCACCCAACACAGAAGGGAATATCCCCACTATAAAAGGGATACCAAGATTCCTCACTACATTCTTATCCCTGCCCCCCAAAGAGCACTTACTAATCTGGAGATCCAACTGAGTAGAAAAGCAAATGCCCCCTGAGGGTTTGGTGTCTAAACAACCCACTTGAGGATCTCAGCAGTTATATGAAAATTAAGTTGTGATGTTTCAAGGAGGAGTAATCAGATGGTACCCTGCCTGACCCCCATCCCTCATCCCACAGAAGGCACAAGCAGTTCATCTCTGCATACACAGAGGTACCACAAACTATTGCCCGAACACTTCCCTGTCACGACAAACAAAAGCATCATTTGGCCTTCAAGTGAGATTCAGAGCCAATCAGTTCTTATTGTTCTCTTTGAAAGAAAAGTCTCTCAACCAACCCAGTTTGTCTTTTCCAAAAGGAAAACAACAACAACAACAAAAAACCTCCTAAAAACTTTTGAACTAACTCAAAATATGCACACCTGAGTACTAGTCAATTTTTTAAAAAATCTATGCCCTTCCTGAGATGAAACAATGCATTCATTTCAGGATACAGTGGGTTCTGAGATAATTTCATCTCTTCCAAATCAACAGAGATTATCTCTATATCTATTTATATATACATATGCATGTTATGTTTATACCAAAACAGATTAATCAAAAATAAAAAGAAGAGCAATTAAGGGGGAGATGTGTGTGTGTGTGTGTGTGTGTGTGTGTGTGTGTGTGTGTGTGTGTATGTATTGTGAACCTGTCAAAAAACTACACTCCCTGAAACAGGAAACAAAAGTGAGTGCTTTTGTTTGTAGTGACAGGGAAGAAGAAGCCCCTCACCCTTCTCACCCCTATACACAGCCCCCTATACACCTATACCCCCCATACATCCTCTATACCCTACCACCCCTATACACACAGCCTCCACCCACCACCCCTATACACACAGCCTCCACCCACCACCCCTATACACACAGCCTCCACCCACTCAGAGGCAGTCCATCCAAAGTGAATCACTGACTAAGGAAAGCAAATTTGTACGCTCTTTGTCTCCTTGCTCTTTTTGTAAAAACTGCCCGTCAGAAAGCAGAGATGGCACACAACATGGTGACAATTCCTCAGCGCCTTGAAACAAGGTTTGTGCCTGGGACAGGTCTCTCTGCAAGCTTGACATTCTTAGCCAGAGAGCAGCTCCTGTGTGAGAGGAGGTGCTCCTGAGCAGAGTGGGTGACACTAACAACTTGTCTCTTCTCTTTTCAGCCCCGAGGTTTGTTTTATTCTCTTCTTTTCCAATTGCCCGATTCAGAGCTTAATGGAAACTTCTCCAAGCTTTTCTTCCCACAAATCCTGTGGAGCCCTTGGCAATCTGTACTCCAGTAACCACAGGAATCTTATATTGTCAATTAAAATGGAATGGACACCTGATAGCTAAGGATAATGTCATGGAAAATAATTTCATACAGTCACAGTCTTATGAATCAATTAATAAAACTGTAGCTAAGCCAAATTCAATTCTCACTTGTCCAGTTCTATTCTTAAACGCCCCCCCCCTTGCCTTCCTCATCACTAAATAACACCAACAAAACAGAAGGAGGAAAAAAGTGCAGCTGCAACTTTCTGAACACTCTGCTCACAGAGAAGCCTTCCATCACACACACACACACACACACACACACACACGTGTAAGTGCACACACAACACCCACTCCAGGCAATATAACTTCCTGCAGGTATCCAACAGCACAATAAAAGCAACTCATTCTGTCTAAATCAGATCCTCACTTCCAGCCAGTAACTATTGGGTCTCACAGAGATTTCCAAGCTCCACTACCTCCAGCTACAGCAGTGAAGGCCTAAAGTTTTTCTCATTATTTCTTTGGGTTTCCACCTGTCCCTTTTCTGAAACGTACACTTTTCACTGCTTTTGTCTTCCCCATATAAAACGCAAAGATGCTTGCTGATGCATAGTCCAGCTTTTGAAGACAAAGGTAAAAACACAGATCGTCGGTAAAGACTTAGCACTCTAAACTGGAATGATCACGTCTCTCTGGCTCTAAAAGTAATAAGGAAGGAGAGATCAAGAGCTGGTTTGACCCCCTGACATCCTGGGCTTTGGAAATGGAAGGGAGGTGAAGGTCTGGGACAACAAGGCTGGGTTGAAGAACCAGGTGCCCACGTGACTCGTCTCCTGGGGCTGCCCTGCACCACTCACCCAGGAGTCTTCAGGTCACTTCCTCATCCAGCAACTGTGGAATCTCAACCTGGACATGTGCTGTGTACTTCCCCCTCTGCTGAATACCCAGGAAAGCCACCGCAAGAGCTGTCCAGAGGACTTTCATTTCTTCCCTCCCATGAAACTCAGTACCATGACATTTTCCTTTCCTGGGGTTTTATCAAGTTCATCCACTCATCATTTTACTACAACTCCCATTGACCCTCATCTGTCCAGAGAAGAACTGAACAGGTCGCAGCACACAGCTTGCTCAGTTCATTTTATCATGAACCCACTTCCCCGGTTACCATATCCTGTTTTAGTTCTAATTCGTACGACTAAATCTAAAGCTGATACCCCTGATACAGGAACACCAGAAATATCCACCGATGGAAGAGGAAACTGTTTCTTTCAACCGCAAGAATCTCATGTTCCAAGACACCACCAAAAAAAAAAAAAAAAGAGCTTAATGTTGGTTTTTCCAACATGAACTTAACTTCCAAGGGCATGAAGACGCTCGTGCCAATTCATCCCAATAAATTGGGAAGCGGTAGAGCACTTACTTTATTTTCAGAGTTTTATGAATTGTCTGGCTTTCACTTTTATGTGTTTAAAAAAAATAACAGATCCATGTCCTAAGAGGTTTTGGTTTTCTTAATTTTGTTGGGGGTTTTTGGTCTACTTTTCCTCTCTAGCCTTCTATGAGCCTCTTGAGGTCTAATTTCCATGTCATTAGCTCAAAGGACAATATATTTATTACTGTATCTGAGAGCTTTGCTTATATTATCAGTCATGGGGAGGGGAGGCGCTGAAGCAAAAAAAAAAAAAAAAAGCCACAGACCATCATATGCATAGCCTCACCCCTGGTTCTTTGTGAAGAGCCTTTTTCATTTAGTAGTGAATAAAACTCTTGACCAGGACTGCTTGTCCTCAAAAATGCCAAAGCAGTGTTCTGACTTCGAGAAGGAGAACAAAACACCAGGATAACTATTAAGTTCCTAGATGGAAGCATGCATGCAAATAACTAGAAACTGAGCAGGGCACTGGTGGGCTGATGTCACTGATCCTAGCTACTCAGGAGGCTGAGATCTGAGGATCCAAGTTCCAAGCCAGTCCAGGCAGACAGTCTGTGAGAATCTAATCTCCATATAACCAGCAGAAAGCTGGAATAGTATGGGTGTGGCTCCAATGGTAGAGCACCACCCTTAAGAAAAAGCCAATCAAGAGCTAGAGGCCCTGAGTTCAAGCCCCAGTCTAGGCACAAAAAAAAGAAAAAAGAAAAGTATCTAGACAGAACATCTGTAGCATCGCATTCTAAGGCCAGTTTTGCCTTCAGAAAATCATCTGCAACAGAACTCAGTCTGTAGACGTAAGGACAATCTCTCCTACCGTATCAGTGTCTATTACCCTCATGTCTATTTACCCTCATTATTTTTTTTTTTCTTTTCCTCAACCTGAAACCATCAGTTATGAGTCAGAAACCGATCATTAAGTTTTACAGCTTCCATACATATCCACCTACTCACATTTGGGGAAAGAAGTATTGACTTGCAACATTGCCTGAGACCAAAATCCTCTAAGAAGGAAAAAAGGGGGGGAGGAGGGAATCGCTTCAAGAAAGTTTTATCTACAGGTCTCCAAGGGGAATGTTAACATTCGTTGTTTCTCTGCTTCATGCTATACAATCTCTAGGCAAAAAAAGTAAGCTGAGGTTGAACCAGGCTGATGGCAATAGGTCTTTCTGGATTAAGTGTGTGAGATTAAAACTAGCCGGTTTTCTTTATGCATCAAAACATAAAGTTCTTCAACTAGAGGGGAAAGTAAGTGCATCGTGTTTCCTGCTCTTGTATAACAAATTTCTTAGCAGAGGGAAAAAAAAAAATATGTGTGTGCACTGAAGTGCTGAGACATGTTCTTAACACGGCGTATTTCATTAAAAGTTGCTCCACTACTAACACTCTTAAAATGATACACCATCATTTCCCCACTTAGCAGTCACAGGGCTGCAACTCATAACGAATTAATTT